AGCCGAGTCTCCACAAGTGGTGAGCTAATAAAAACACGCACAGAGCAGTGTCTTTGAATTAGCACAGAGCTTTCACTCTTCCTGTGATAATACAGTCCACACCCAGGGAGCGGCTACTTCTTGAACAGAAATGGGAAAGGTTTGTTCCTCAGTTGTTTTTGAAGAGCAAGGCTATTATTCAGACATGGTGGATTTCCTCTGGCTGGTATTTTATCAGCTATAATTAAAACAGCCACCTCCTTTCAGTCAGCTCTCAGCACATACTTACGCAGCTAGATCGACGGCGCTTAATCCCACTGTGAGAAGCTTTGTAGCTCTACCTGTTTGTTACCTAACTCAGCTATAGGAGAAAGCAAGAGAAAAGGAAAAACAGGCTTAGGGAACTGCTTAAACTCATGCAGTTACAGAAATTAAATTACCCAGGTTTCCTCCTTGCACTGACTCATCTTGTGTTAAGGCCAGACAATCAGTGCAGCAGCTAGACACGAGGTCTTAAGAGACAGAGAGAAAGAAACTTAACAGAAAGTGAATAAATGTGACTCTCTGAAGGGGAGAAGTGAATGTGTCAGTTCCCTACAGGGCAAGCGAATAGCAAGCAGTGAACAGACACGCTGTGCTTTGAAGAGCAAACAGTTTTGCTTCTTGTTAGGTGTCTCTGCAGATTGCTGTCATTCCTACAGCTTTTCTTCAGTGCTGCTTGTCTTCAACTGCATTTCTGGCAGCAAAAATTACTGTGCTAATGCTTCACAGCAAAAGCAAGACTACCTTACAAAATACCACAGGGGAAGGCTAAAAAGTGATATAGGTGCTACTTGAGTTGTGGCCTACCCCAGTGTTTCTCAATGAACTTCATTTACAAAATTTTGTTTTCAGTGATTTAGAAATACCTAGGATGTATCTCTAACCCCAGCACAGAACTGCTGACTGTGTCTGGGAGAAATATGCACTGAAAACACTGGTTTGTCTGATTTGGTGCAAGAGATGGGAAGGGCAGCACATTGCCTACCTCTGAACTTACTGAACCTTCGGATTTTCTTTCTTTTCAACTAGCGTTAAACATGGGTATGGAGCAAACCCCTCTCTCTGCAGCACTTCCCCCTGCACTTTGATTCAGCGTTCACGTGCTCACAAAGCAGGTTCAAGTTGAGGTTCAGTCCTTTGTTCTCGGAGGTTTGCCTGGCTGTTGCCTCGTACTATCTGCCTCTAAGAAAAACTGATGTTATCTTCTAAAGAGAAAAGTCAAGATTGTATTTGCAACTGAGAATTTCCTGTGTGCCTGCCCCCAGCCCGTGCACTGACAGCACAGAGCAGTGGCTGTACGTGGCTGCGCTTCTTCACACAGCTCTCAAAACCCTCCTTGCACGGTAGCTGGAGAAATCCCCAGCCGCTGGTCCCTTTGATCTCAGACAAAGGTCAACCTGTCTAGCAGAAAGCATGATCAGAAACGCAACCTCACAACCTCCTTCACTTTCTCTTTCCTACCCTGGAATGGTTCACTGTGTCTTTCAAGGTGTGCCTCCATTAAGGCAGGTATGATTTTCACTTTGGCTCTTCGGAACATCTTTATTTCATGCCGTGCTTCAGACAGGGCTGCCAAGATTTCCAATGAGCTGATAGGAAAACGTCCAATTATTATAGCAGTGTTCAACAGCTCTTCACAGTGCTGGTGAATTCTTCTCCTAAAGAGCACACAGTTTCCCTGCACTCCATTTCAGAGATTCTGTGAGCACACTGTGGGTCCTGAGCTTCCCAGTGCTGATAGCTGCAAAGTACCTTCTTGTGTTTCTGACACACACAGGCCTTGGAGCTGCAGAGCCCAGCTGTTCCTCACAGCCTCTGCAAGCTTCCCTCTGCACAGCACGGGTGAATGCATGACTTACACGTTCTACAGGTAAGGAGACTGGCACAGCAATTTTGCTTCTAATTGTATCTGGCTTTAGATGCTAATCTGCATTGTTGTTTTTTTAATTGCTTTTAAATTCCTGTATAACTTTATAATTGTTGTTACAGCTGTGAAGGTTCGTAGGTGACTGACAAATAACTTGTGCAAAGATAAACACTTTCTCTGCTGAGTTTCCTCAAAGCCGTATTGGCTTAAGATACTTATCACCAAAGAAGATGAGTGATGGGAACAGTAAATATCGAATTCTTCAAGCATAGGCTGTTGGACACCTGTTTTGTCTGAAATGACACCGTGTGAGAATAGATGGGACGGCTTTTGCTTTTTACAGATGATGCAACCTCATACTGCTGAGGAGGAGGCATGAGGTGCTGATGTGTGGGTCTGAGAATGCATCCCCCTTCTCGGTTGGGATGTGTGCCTTAGCATGGGCTAGATGTTGCTTAGGGGGATAGATAAAGGTACTCCTATGTGGAATGGAAGCACTGTTATTCATTACAGGTAGCGGGAGGATGACAGTTCACCTTTACAGAGGTGTGGTTGACAATCTATGAAAGTCAATCAAGTGAGTTAGGAAAGTGTGGATTAGGAAAAGTAAACAAACAAACAAACAAACAAAAATGAGCCATCCACTACCAGGGAGAAGCACTACAGGGCTGCAGAATGAAGAGATTATCTGTAGTTATCCTGCAAGTGAAAGTGGAAATAGGGGCTGAATCATGACTATCAGCGATCATTCAGTCTCTTGAACCTAATTCTCGGAGGTTTGTCATGAGGATTAACTTTGTGCATAGAGGGCTGGTCTCTCTTAACTCCTTTTATTGTCAGTATAAGAGAGAGGCTCCCTGCAGGACAGCTTGGATTCCTGTCTGTCTGTCAATCCTCAAAGCAAGGTTGTGCCAGGATGTAGTCATAAGGTGTGTCAGTCTTCTTCCAAGTTGCCAACTTATTCTCCAGAATTCGAGCTCTCCATTTTCTAACGAAAGCTTTTTATGCTATCATTTCCAAGAAAAATCTGAGATGACTTGCAGGAGATGCAGGCGTGTTTGCTTGAATTTGTGGAGAGCCTTCTGATTTAACTGGAGGGTTTGCCTTGTTTCAGTGAAGTGTTAATTCTGGTGCCAAGTGATAGTAGACTGTTGCCAGTATTCTTGATTATTTTAGTGACCCATTTAAGCCTTGTATTGTATTTCTAAAATTAAGCTGTTACGCTTGGCATAGCTTTTTAAGGTTGTACCTGCTTTAGCGATGCGCAAAAAAAAAAAAAAAAAAAAAAAAAAAAAAAGGTGTTTAGCACTGTTTTTATAGCAGTTTCCTAGGAAAAAAAGCACTCTACCTCCTAAGAGAAGACAGCTGGTTGCTAGGTGCAGTATTCTTGGCTGTGTGGCCCCAGTGGCATGGTTACCTGCGGTCTGTCTGCAGTTTGCCTCCTGCTGCCTCTGATGCTCCCACAGTCAATGTTGCTACGAGAATTACTGCGTGGAGCACACCTACAGAAATGCTGTTTCTAAAGACATCTAAAATGTAGTGTACCGGCCTACCGAGCACTACAGTTCCACAGTAATTTTTGGTTGTTCGGCAGGATTTATAGTTGTTTTGAGCAGCAATAGGTTCCACAAATTTCAGATGGGGTTCAGTGAAAATAGCTTTTTGCTTTCTGCTCGCAGTGTTGTGAGCATGGTTCGGGTGGGCAATCACATTGCCTAATGCCCCTAGCAATATCAATGATGAATTGGCCTATCTTTATGGCAGTACCTAAGACCTTTATGCTGATGTCACTGGAACCTCTGTAGCTGGAAGACAGTATTTGTGGTTTGTGTTTATCAGTAGCCTATTCTTACTACTTCTAAGTTTCATTATGATGTTCATAATTATATTCAGTATATAACTTTTAATGCAAAAATGTTTTATTTCATGGAAGAATACCATGGTTGAGGCCTTTTTTTTTTAGTACAGTGACAGAAACAAGAAGTGTAGCCTGGAAATTTTCTTTACAAGCCTAGTGAAGATTAATGCAAAATAATTGTACCGCGAGAGTGTGGTCTGGGCAGACAGAAAATGCAACAGCAAAATACGTTTGTACTGGCACTGTAGCAATGATTTGCTTTTGGGTGAAGGTTCTTTCTAAGCTGCTTTGAGTATTCCTAATGTGTTTTTATTTTTTGCTTTGGGACAAAATGAGGCAGAATATCAATCTCCTGAGAATGACTGCAAAAAGCTGATTGCAGTGCTCCAGGCTGGGGACTTTGGGGATGGTTAGCCAGGTGCTAACAGTCTCACTCATCCCAGTATGTTGTGTTATTGTTTGTAACTCTCCAAATGTTGATTTCTTTTTCTATCATTTCTTTTTCTCGCAGAGAGGAGATGGAGTCACCATCCCAAGAGGACCATGTGGACCTGGCACTGAGGGACATGGTTAGTGGTATGATGGGGACGGGTTAATGGTTGGACTAGATGAGCTTAAAAGTCTTTTCGGACCTTAGTGGTTGTATGATTTTTCTGCGTGTAGTTGCTTTTTAATGCTCTGTAGTTACTCAAACAATAGGCAGCATTCAGCGAAGGCAACAATGGCTTTGAAGGCATTGCTTCGCCCTCTCCATCATCACGGTAGGAAGGCCAGGAGGGACAAACTTCCCACGGATATCTGCAGAGCCAGGCCTGGTAGGGCAGTGAGGCCAAGGAGTGAGGCCTGTAAATCCTCAGTGCTTCAGTACCTGCCTGCAAAGAGCAGTCCTCCATCCAGTGGATGGGCACAAGTGTAAGGGATTACAAGCATAACGCTTTCTAAAGTCATTGGCCAAAGCAGCGCAGCGGGACGCGAAGCTCCGGACCCCCCGGGCCCGGCGCGGTCCCCTCCTGCAGGGCGCCCCCTGCCGGCCGGGCGGTGCCGCCACCTGACGCTGCGGGCGGGGCGGGCGGGCGGCCTCAGCACGTGCCGGGAGGCGCTGGGCCGGGGCCGTGCCGAGCGGCGCCGCGCTGCCCCGCCCCGAGCTCGCCCGAGGGCCGCGGCGGGAGGGAGGGAAGGAAGAAAGGAGGGAGGGAAGGAAGGAGGGAGGAGGCCGGCGGCCGTGACCTCGGCTCGAGCGGCGGGAGCAGCTCCCGGGAGGGCGCGGGAGTCCACTCCGGGATTTCGGGGGCGCCGCGCGGTGACACATTGACATCACGGGGGCGCGGCCGGGCGGCGGGCGGGGGCTGCGCGCTGAAAGGCGGCGGAGCGCGGCCGCCCTCACTCCGGCACGGCGGCGGGACCGGGAGGGCGCGGAGCGGCGCGCGGCTGCCTGCACTGCCCGGGCTGGACCCCGCGCCGCGGCCGCCAATGTGCCTCGGGAAGCGGGCTGCCTCCTCGCCCTCAGGTGAGCGCGGGCGTGCGGGGCCGAGGCAGGTGCCGGGGGGCCGCGGTGCGCGGGGTGCGGGCGCGCTCGCAGCGTGTCAGCCTCCGGCAGCGGGCGCGTGGCAGCGCAGCGCTCCGGGCTGCTCCGCGTCCGCGGCGAGGACCGCGCGGTGCGGCGCGGCGCCCGCTCGCAGGGACCGCGTGCGGCGCGGGGAGTGAGCTCCGCAAGCGGCGGAGGAAGAGCGACGCGCGGCGTTCCGGCCCCGCGGGGTCGGCTCAGAGAGCCCGGCCGGTGCGGAGCGCCCGCGGAGCGCTTTCTCCGCGCGGGGACGGCCGTGCGGAGCGCTCGCTGGGTGCTGCCCGACGCGGCTCCGTGCTCCGCCCGCCGGGCGCGACCCGGAGCCGCCGAGGGGGCAGCCCGAGCCGCAGCCAGCGCCGCCGTCAGCGGCGGCTGCGTGGCGAGAAGCGCGTTAGGGACTGGCGTTTGAGCCGCGGGGAGCTGGAGGCGGGGGCGTGCGGCATGCACGCGCCGGGAGCCGAGCAGGTGCCGCCGGGCACGGGCACACGCGCGCGCCCCCTCCGCCTCCCGCGGCACCGCCGTGCCCCGGGAAAACCGCCGCCGCCGGCGGGGAGCGGGCGGGAGGGCGCCCGGCAGAACCCGCGCGTCGGGAAGGCGGGGTTCGCTCTCGGGACGGGACCGCGCTGCGGGGAGGCTCTCGTGAGGGACCGGGGCGCCCCGAGGAGGAGCGCGCGGCCGCCTCCCGGAGGGGCTGCGCGGGGCCCCGGAGCCGGCGGCGGGGAATCCCCGTGCCGGCGCTGCCGCTTTAAACGCCGGGAAGTCCGCCCTCGTGAGGCGGCAGCGACCTCGGGCTGCGCCCTCCCCCCGCGGAAGGGGGGGCAGCCCTTGTTTTCATTCATAACTTTTTTTTTTTTTTTTTTAATTCCCCTCCTCTTCCTTCCTCCCCGCTCCGCTCGCAGAGGGCGCCGCGCGCCGCCCGCCCGGGGCCGCCCGAGCTCCGCGGGACCGGGGCGGGACGGGGAGGGATGGGAGGGGGCAGCGCCGCGCTCAGACGCGGCTCTCCTGCCCCGCGTGCGTCGCGTTACTTCGTGCGCCCGGCCGGGGGCGGAGGGGCAGCCGCTTCCGACGCCGGAGGCTGACCTTCTCGCCGTTCTCTCCGCTCCCGGCCCGCAGCTGGTGCTGTCAGTCCGCGTCCCCCCGGAGGCGGCAGCGGGGGCTGTCGCGTTTCCTGAGGAGATCGCGTGTTGCTCCCCCGGGAGCTCGCTCCGGGCTGCCGCAGCTGCGTGTGCGTCTCGCCCTTCTCACCTCCGTTCACGCTCGGTGCGTGTCGCGGGTTCGCGTCCGGCTCCTGGGCAGAGCGCGGCTCGTGGTGCGGGATGAATTGAAAGGAGCGCGGTGGCGTGGAGCCGTTTCATTTATTTTTTTTCGTTAATCTGCTGACCCTAAATATGAATTGCGACCTTTACCGGGCAGACGAGCGCGGGGGATTTGCATCCTTATGAACGGGTACCGCTTCTCCGAGTGGTCGGCGGCGGAGATGCATCCCCACCTGCTGCAGTGAGCCTGCCTGCCCCACGCTCCGGGAGCGGGACGTGCTCCTTGCCTTGGCCGCAGCCGGTGTCCTACTGCTGTCTGTCCGCTCCACTGTGCGACTGTGTGTGACATCTCGCGGGGGTGAAAGGGGAGCGAGTTGTTGTGGGCTTTCTTCGAAGGGAAAGCAGTTTATTTTCTTAGCTTTATGTATAAGAGCTGCAGCTTTTACGTGGGTCTCGTGCAGCTCTTATACGGGTGCAGGGCTGTCACTGCACTTTTCCTGGTCAGCGTTTGTAATCTTTGGGTCAATAGTTGAAAGATAAACTGTGAGGGTTGTGTTTGGGAAGCTTTCAGTTAGTTTATCTTGTGCGAAGGGATCTGTTCATCACTTTTACTGAGTCTCTAGCTAAGAACTTTGTTATAGCTTTGATTAGCTAAGACACTTAGTTTGTCTTGTTTTCTTGTATCCATACTCATGCTCTGCCCTTTGGTGAGAAAGTACCTGAAGCTGTTAATTTTGTAAGGTTTAGATGCTGAATTTCTATCCTATAGGAAATGCTTTGTCCACCTGACTGACTTTGAGGCTCTGCTGTGCACACACTGTGCTTCCAGAAGGAGCCATACCCAGACGCAATAGAGTGCAGGTCTCTTCAGCTTTCTGGTGCTGTAGATGCAGGCAGAAATGCAAGGACTGAGTGTGCCCTTCCTTCTGCCGGCAGAGCACCAACTTGACACTGCTTTTTCCCCTTTCCAGCTTAGTTTTGGGGGCAGGCAGAGCTGCTGTTGCTAATTAGACACCGAGTTCGGTAGCACGCGAGAAGCACGCACTTCTATGGCTTGCCAAGTTAGTGCACAGGTTAATAGTGATTTTTATAGTTATTTTCTTTCTGAGTTTTCATTTTAATGGCGAGGGGTCTCCTCCAGCATTCCTCACCTATGATGCCATGCCCGGGCTCTCCTCGCTGCTGGACTTGGGCCAGATCCTCAGTGTTGCTGTAATCCCCTGCTGAAAGAGTTCGGCACCAGGTGGCTCGGGCAATTTGTGGTTTGCTATAGCATTTTTATTTTCAGACAGCATCCTGTTCTTTGTTCCTCTTTTGTGCTTGATCTTGTGTATGCGTGTATATATGTACACAAGCAATGTTTATTTATACCTCCTGTCTTCTCGTTATTATTCTAGGATTTCAGATGCATGCCAGGTTCCTGCTGAATGCCAGAAGTAGAGATCACTACAGATGGAGCCCCAAAGCCAGCACGGCAGTGGTGGTTCGCTGGTGGTGATTCAGCAGCCCTCTCTGGACAGCCGGCAGCGGCTGGAGTACGAGCGGGAGAGCCAGCCTACAGCTATCTTGTCGCTGGACCAGATCAAGGCGATCCGCGGCAGCAATGATTACACTGAAGGGCCATCTGTGGTGAAAAAATCCGGTCCGCGGACGGCACCGAGGCAAGAGAAGCACGAAAGGACTCATGAAATCATACCGATTAATGTGAATAACAATTATGAACACAGACCCAGCCACGTGGGGCACGTGGCGCATCAGCATAATGCGAGGGTTCCCGTTTTGAGCAGATCAACCAGCACGGGGAGCGCGGCCAGCTCTGGGAGCAACAGCAGTGCTTCTTCGGAGCAAGGACTGTTGGGACGGTCACCTCCGTCGTGGCCGGGCCACAGGTCCGAGCGGACAATCCAGACGCAACCCAAGCAGTCGTCGTTGATTGTAGATGATCTGAAGGGTCCTCTGAAAGAGGACTTGACACAGCACAAGTTTATCTGCAAACAGTGTGGGAAGTGCAAGTGTGGTGAGTGCACAGCCCCGAGGGCCTTGCCTTCTTGCTTGGCCTGCAACCGGCAGTGCTTGTGCTCGGCGGAGAGCATGGTGGAGTACGGCACCTGCATGTGTTTGGTCAAAGGGATCTTCTACCACTGTTCTAACGACGATGAAGGGGACTCATACGCGGATAATCCCTGCTCTTGCTCCCAGTCACATTGCTGTTCTAGGTACCTGTGCATGGGAGCCATGTCCTTGTTTTTGCCTTGCTTGCTCTGTTACCCTCCTGCAAAAGGATGCCTAAAACTGTGTCGAGGGTGTTACGACCGTGTCAATCGTCCGGGCTGCCGATGCAAGAACTCCAACACTGTCTATTGTAAACTGGAGAGTTGCCCCTCCCGGGGTCAGGGCAAGCCGTCATGATTTTTGGAGGGAGGTTTACTTCCTCCAACTTTTGATTTTTCAGGTTGTAGCTGATATATAAATATTTTTTCTTCCCTCCCCCCCTTTAGGGGTGTGTAGGGGGGGCTGCTTTCTTTCACCTCCCCCTCCTTCAAATACACAAGTTATTCCCTTTGAATCTTTGTTCTCCTCCTCTAATTGAGTCAACTGAGTGTGGAGTGTTTTACGTATAGTCATTTGCTGCTCTATGGTAAGTGTGGACTTGGTATCTGCATCTGCCACCCACTTTGGCAGGGTCTTCTGAGTCTGTAACTGAACCACTCCTGAAAGAGACAGTGAGGGCTAATTTGGCTCTTGCAGCTTCTTGCTCTGAATATCTTCCCAAAGATGTTTTTCATTCTCAGCAATTTTTTTTTTTTTCCTCTGACCCCCTTGGGTACCTCCAAGGAATAACTCTCACGAGTGAGCTGGATTGTGAAATAACTTCTTGTCTGTGTTCTTTCCGGAGAGGGATGTAAGGCTTTACCAAACGAAAGGCCTGATTCTTCAGTAAGCAGCCTGCTTTCTTGTTCGTTTGTTTTCCTTCTTTTTTTGACTTTTGCAACATTCTCAGTCCTGAGAGTTAGCCAATTGTTCCTATTGCTTTGTTTTTAATTCTTTCTTAACACAACTTCGGTTTTTGCTACACTATGTAGATCTTCACATTGGAGACATTATGGCTGCAAATGTACTTGTTTTTCTCTTGCTGTCAAATGTTTGAAGGATATTGCTCACTCCACCCTTCTCCTGTTGTTTTAGTCCATCAGTATCATGCTGATATTAAAGTTGGTGGTGTTCGTGTATCCAGACAGCCTTCAGGTGTCATTGAGTCACCTAAATGTTCTCGAATCTCTAATGTTTCTCGTGATCCTTTGGTTTAGTGGATTTAGCTCTGCTCTGTACTTTATAATTTTATTCCCTGTTTTATTGCCTTAGCCACAGATTGTGGTCCTTTTTTGTATATTTTATGTATAAAACACAAAGTTGAATCCCAACTATTTTTAAGACAAAAGTCTGTTAAAACTTTTTTTATTGTAAAGAATATTTATTATGTGAATCTCTATTATTTTATGATATTTATTGCAAAAAGACTTTGAAAATGTACTCATGTCTGAATATAACAAAATATCAATACTTAACGAAATAAGGATGACACGAAGAAAGTACATATGTTAACTATAATGCAGAAAATATATTAATTAATGAAAATGGCTCTTGAGTTCTTTTGTTACAACAAGTAGTTGTGAGCATATTCTGGGTTCTTGATTTTTATTTTTCCTTCCTAGTGGGATATCAGGTAGCAAGTAACTTCCTGTTGTTACTTCAAAACCACTAGTCTGTGCTCTAGTTTAGTTTACCTAATTTTAAGTTTGCTAACTATTTGTCAAGCAAGGTTTTGCAATTGGATGTATGCATTGTGCTTAACGTTGCCAGGAGGTATAGGCCCTGTTTACTTTAACAGCGTTTGGAGATACATTTGTGAAGGAGGAAACCATAGCTTCAAGAGTTTTTCTTTTTTTCTTTTTTAAAGAATTCCAAATTAACATGTAAAAGTACTTTAAATTTTCCTATATGGAACTTCTTGGCTGGTTAAATTGTATGTCAGTTGAAGCAATGAACCTATTAAGCTCAAATCTAAATAAAAACCAAGAGGCAGGATATAAAACAACATTTGTGTTTCTGCAGTTTGCTAGCTTTGAAGGTTGTGTGTGCATATGCGAATGTACGTGTGTGTGTGTGGCTTGCTTGGCTCTTTTCCCATAGTTTTCCCAATGTCAACTGAGTCTACCTTGTCTTTAAATTAAAGGCTCTTAAGGGTGACCCAAGTGTCACGGCTGTTTGTGGCCATTTAACACGTATTCAACAAAAAAGCTTTTCATTAAGAGGTTTCCCCATTCACTCTTTCTTCTGTCCATGTGGGTCAAGGCTAACCTCACAATTCTTTTAAAGTAAAAAGTTTATTAAAGGGATGTAATTGCACATGGTATTCAGAGTGAGTGGTTCTAGAGAAACTCCACTTAAGGAGCATAGTATAGGTAATAATCTGACAAATGTGTCACTGCATTTTGAAGTATTGCTGCTTTGAATTGTCGTACTCAAGCTGTTGTAACTCGCAGTACACTGATGATTTGAGTAAGCTGGGCTTTTGTAGCTAACTCCATCAAACTTGATCCAGTGTTGTCTGAGCTGACTGGAAGTTGTGTTCCTTATTGAATGGCTTGTATGATTTCTGCAAGGTATACAGTGAAGTTGCAATATGAACGCATCTAAGAAACCATTTGCTTTGTAGAATACAGTTGGTAATACTGCATGTAAATGTGACAGAACTTACAGGTGAGGAAGCTGGTGGGATGGCAGTGTGTATGTTAATCTGCTTTCCAAGATTTGTTCTTCTTGAGATGAACCAAGGCCAAGAGAAGAATGTTTCTGAGGAGTAAGTGACTCACTTTGAGCTACTTCCTTATCACTGATGCTTCTCCAACAGTGGCAGCTGCAAACAGCCCTCGAGAGATGATGAAATCCTTGTCAAACAGTCACCATCGGTCAGATAAGACTGTTTTTAAGACTTACGTATTGACCATCAAAAATACTGAGCCAACTATGTTTCCATAACTGGGTACAATCCAGGTCTGCGTTGAGTAAGCTTGCTTGGAATGGTGCTGGATCTTTCTCTTCGAGGAAAGAAATAGACATTGTTGGCCTCTGCCTCTTGTTTCCAGCCATGTACCTGAAGTGGGGATTTCAAGTTTCTTAGGAGGAACACTTGACCTATGTGGATTCAGAAGATAACTGTTCACTGTATGTCTTAATTGTTACTCTAAGCGCTGTGACCCTAGAGAAGGCAGTGTTGAGGCAATGCAAGTAACACATTGTTGTAGATGCTGTATCTTTTGTATTTGATGTACATCTGTATTTGAGTTTACTCTTGGGTCCTTCAGAACTCAGAATGATTGCCTTAATGTATGGAAGTAGATGCATTCTCTTGGGCAAATTTTTGTGATGTAGAACCTATTAGAATCACATAAGAGCACGTGGATGTCTTTCTGGGGGTGGTGGGGTTAAGCAAGCTGACAGATGCATGAGGTAAGCCTTCCTGACTTGGAGAGACAGAAGCTATTTTAAATTTGCTCGAAGTGGTCAGTCATTATGGTCAGTTCTACTTCCTACAATACAGTAACTGGAATGTACACCTAGAGATACAGTGTCATGTAAGGAGCTGAACAGACTTGCCAAATGCTAATGGCAATTTTGATGACTAGGAGACTGAGTTCTTCAGAGTTTGTCAGTTGCTCAGGTTACTTTCTGCGGGTCAGACTGTCAGAGGTCCAGTGGCTGTTACAATGTAAATGATAATGATTTCTTAACCATTTTCAGATTGCTTTTATTTTGGAGGGGGAAAAAAAAAGGCACTTTGTGTGTAAAAGGATTGGACATGTGTAATTAGGCAAGAAGTTCAGCTGACCTACTAACCTAATTGTATAGGTCACTGATGGATTTGAACAAGCTGGCCATCTGGTTGTATGCAGCAGAGTGCTGAAATTTCTCACGTAAGGTCTGCGAGGAAGGAAAAAGGGAAGCTTCTGCAGGCTGGGATTCAGTCTGTATTTGCTTAGCACCTTGAAAACTGTGGTAAGAGGTGAGTTTGGGAAGCATGTTAGGTTTCCATGTTCCTTGCTGCAAAGAGTATATTGGTAGGGTGAAAATTTGAGAGTTCATGTGTTGGGCTAAAGGTAGCTTCATTACACTAATTCTAGAGTGGATGATAGTGTTATCCAGGGGGAGGTTAATGCTTAACAAATGAAAAGTACTTGCTCTTGTTTACGGTTCCATATCATAAAGACAGGTGGGAGAGGATTAGCTTCTTTCTCTGTGATAAAACAAATCTGTTAAGAGGGATTAAAAGGGCTACATGAAATGTTTTAATGGACTTATATGATGAGATTTTTTGTTGTTGTTGTTTGTCCTGAAGGAATGTTCAGGATTCACTGATACTTTTGTGATTCTTGTTCTGCTAAAATTACCTCAAGATGCTAAGGAATCCTGAAGAACTGTTGGCTTTCTTCCAGCTGGAGCACAGTGGTGCTTCAAGAAACCTGGGATACAATTCTGTTCACATATCACACAGTTGGATTTACCAGCCTCATAAAGTGTGTGGGAGGCACGGCTGTCCTGATTAGCATTTGTCAAGTTGCTTTCAGGGTGGATCAGAAGTAGTTTTCCTTCCTAGCTGCAACGATTTCTCACCTTTTTCACTGATAGGAGTAGCCTATTTAGTAGGTAGCCTGTTAGCCTAGCTTTATTCCCAGAGTGACATGTATTGCTCAGTTTATATTTATGACCAAGAGATACAATGCTGTTATTTTTCCCAGTATAACACTTGCAGTTGCCACTCTTGCTTCTCCAGGTGAAGGTATCTTCAGATGAGAAACTTCCTCATTTACTAATTAGTAAATACAAATATGGGACAGATTTCCTGTAAACCACGCGTACTCTTACTAGGTTTAAGTATGGAGGGGTGAAACCCAGCCATACTGTATGCCAGGATCTGTCAGTGCTCTTGATACACACATGCATTTGGAATAAAACCTAAGACTATATTGTCAAAGGAAAGAGCGTGCCATCCCAGGGGAAGGACATTGTTACATGTATTACAAAGGCAGTTACCTTCAGCTTGAAAATATAATTATTGTGAATTGCTCATTTTTTGAAGAATCATACATTTGTCTAACCACTAGAGAAAGGTGTAGTGGTAAGCATGCCTCTCTTGCGCTGTCTTTGTATACGTGCACAGTGCTACAACTCTGAAAACAAATACCCTCCAGAACACATTGTCAAAAAGCACAAATGTTTGACAGGGGCTCTACCCCAAAGGGCTGAACATTGTGTTTGTGCAGTAGGGAAAACAATGGAGCTCACATCCTGCCTGACCCTTCGAGGCCACAACCGCAGTATGGCTGCTTTGGTAACACAGAATATTGCTTCTGAATGAAGTCAACAGATTTACACCACCTCCTATGTTCACTCGAGGACAGCGTACAGCCACTAGTAGCTGGTGCCCAGCAGCCAGTACTGAATGGGTTTCATCCTGGTGCTGGTTTTCTCTCTTTTTTCTTCTTTTTTTTTCTTTTCTTCTTCTTTTTTTTTTTTTTCTCTCTTTTTTTTTCTCTCTCTTTTTTTTTTCTCTCTATTTTGCAGCAGTGGCATTAATTAGGTTGGTTTACATGGAATGCTGTATTATAAATGACTAAGATTTATCAGTATTAACATGTTCCTAGTTGATCTGTCAGAGTAACTGGGAAAAGATGCCGGAATATTCTAAGCATATGCTGAAATTATCTGGTCGATTAACTCTTTAACAGATTTTAAAGAAATTGTGCATCTTCTGCAGAACACTTCAGGATTTGGACCATCTGACAGCCCTTCTGACACTTTGGGGATTCTTCTTCCCCATTTTAAGCAGGAAAAAACATTTTTTGTTGTCTGGCCTGGGAAAGATCCTCTCAACAGCACTATTTCTTACTGATAGTGTTCAGTGAGATACTTTTGGATCTACGTACTCTGAGCAAGACACTTGAAGATGAAAATGAATAAACCACTTGCAAGGGACAAAGGAGGAGGTGCTGTGGCTTTTTTCCACTCTCTGAATTTTGGTACCTTGTTTTCAACATCCAGGTTTCCCAGCTGCCCCTGCTCAAAATTCATTTTCAGCAAAATGTATTTCCTATCCAAATCCATTTCCTATTGTGTCCTGTATCATACCTCCTCTTTTCAGAGAATTGTATGCTTGTTCGTTATTCTACAATGCAGGCAAAGCTCTTCTGGATGAAAAAAAGCCATTGTTGTGTGAACCACCTAACCCTCTGCTACTGGGCACCCACTGCTGTAACGTGTTTCTGCAAGATCTGTCTCTCTTAAAATCACAGTGATGACGATCCTGGTTAGCCAGGGTAGGAAATACAGCACAGCTGGATCTCAGGTTTTCAATTTTGGTTCAAAGTTCAGATCCAGATATGAACTGTGCCAAAATTTGACAGCACATAGAGTCTGGGCTTAGGTTTACTAACCTGCAGAGCTACGTAAGGAAACACTGTTACAGTTGGAAATGCATCATTTATGCTGTAATAATCAGTCAAAGGATCACTGTAGGAGCAAGTGGTGGACATAAATTGGGTCCTTCTGGAGTCTCGTATATCTTTTTGTGTGAGGTTTTCAAATCTTGAGTCGGTAGGCTTGCTTTCCCCTTTCTATCTCTTGCCGTATGTTGGAGCAGGAGCATTCACGTGGTGATTCCTCTCTCATTCATCACATCACTGCTGCCAGGTGCAGATAGCATCCCCTGTAGTCGCTAATCCGGCTTGCTCTGCCTGCTGACAACTCTAATGTACTTGGCTGGGGACAACTTTATCTGTTCTGGTGGCAAAAACTGCAATATCTCTTTACCAAGTAGCTCAGAGCATTTTGAGCTTGTACTGAAAACGCATTCTTTTCATAAGGAATGACAAAAAAATCTCAGAGGAAAGCATTTCCCTTTGCTGAGGGGAAGACCGAGGTGTGAGGGCTGCACAGAGCCGCGCTGTGAGGCAGCAGCTCTCCTGTTTGCAGTGTGGTGTTCCACCGTAAAGTCACTCTTCTGTACAGGAAGCTGAATGAATGAATAAATGAATGAATGAATGAATGGGGAAGGCAGTCAGCATCTGCCATTGTAGCACTTTCTGGAGAGTATTTATAAATCGGATGTTGTAACGTGCCACAGGCTGTGTAGGTGTGTGCCTCTGACTGCACTGATTTGGAAGTGATAATACTCCTATGTGGAAAGATACGTGATGATAGCACAGGGGCCAATTGTAAGTGCCCTTGGTATAACGTGCTGTGCAGTACGAACAGCTTCATGTTTGTCAGTTTGGGGTTTGTTAATATTTGGAAATGGCAGTGATCCTGATCGTCGGGAGTCTGGAGATGTGGGAAACGAGGCAGGGCTCTAAATACGACAAGGGGCTCGCGGGGCTGGAAGCTAGAGCCATATCCTATGGCCTTCTAATTAAAAACCTTTATTTCCACAGATTTATTCTGTGGGCCTTACTAAATAGATCAGCCTTGGGTTTCTAATGGTGAATATTTTAGGAGGAATGTAGCCTTTGTTACTATGAATAGTCGGGAGCAGATTACCGGGATGCCAATTTCCTGTTGCCTTTCAGAGCTGCAATTTGAGCCCTATTTGCTCCTGGCCCTTGCACAATTGAAAACAATGGGTGGCTTCTTTCAGGTTTCACTTCAGAGCTCTTAGAAACTGAGGAAGTGGCTAAAGCCCTACTTTACAGGTAATTAACAATAGATAATGTTTGCTCTGCGGTTGTTGTTTTTTTTTTTAAAGGCTGATGGAGGTGGAAGAAGCACACCCTGAGCTCCCAAGCTCCCAACACAGCAACGCAGTTTTGCGGCTGCCAGGCCACAGCACGATGGGTCCCACATATACCCAAAGGGACAGAGGGGAAAACAGGGCAGAGAGGCGCTAGGTTGCTGCAGGATGAGCAGCAAAGCCCGGCCAGGTCGTCCTCCTTCATCAGTGCGAGTGTTTGCTGCTGCTGCGGACCTGCTCTTTGATTTAGGCCCCCTTTTTATCGTATCCTCTATCTCTTTTATTAGGTGCGTACTTCTCATACCTTGTTGACATTTTTGTAGGACGGTTAAATATTTTCTTATGTCTATTCAATCCTAGGAAAACACGTGTCCTTTACAGTTTATTTTAAATACGGAAGCTTGTTTTACCGCATATAGGCGCCTGTTGTTTAACATATCTCGTTAATACAGAGCTGTGGGGGCTTGGAAAGGAGCTGCCAAAGAAGATGCTCTCACGCCATGATCTGTATGTATCTAGAGATACACCCACGTGGCTGGGGCGGAGAGGAAACGTCTGAATGGGGATGCTCGGGCTCCCCGCAGGGAGCCGGGGAGAGATTAACATCAGAATGAACGTCAGCCTTAGGAGTGGGCTCCGTGTCTGCGGGCTGTGGGGTGGCGGGCGGGCGATGAAAAAAATGGGAAAAACTAAACAAACAAACAAGAAAAAAAAAAAAAAAGAAGGACGTTTTGCACGAAGAGCTGCTTAGTTGGCCTCACTGTGTATGTAGAAACTTCCTGAGTAGGCAGGAGAGTCGTGCACGCATATAATGTAGGTGTCCGGTATGTAAATGCGCTTTTGCCTTTTGCATCGACGTGTGCTAAAGCTAGAGGAGACAGAAAAGCTAACCGTGGCAAAACCTGCTCCAGTGATTCTGGGCTGATGCAAGCCGTCTGTCCTACTCAGGAGCGAAGCCCTGCATCTACTACACTTGCCCACCCCAGGGCAGCTTTTGTCCTGCTTGCCTTTGCCAGCCAGGAGCTTTGCTTGCTGGTAGCACCGCTAGCCCGAGCCTGCTGCCTGCACTGGTGACGCTGATACAGCTGATCTTCAAACAGAGGGAAAAGAAAAGGACTTGTGATGCTTGACTTTGGCACCAGGGAAATGCCACGAAGGGTCATACCTGGAGACCCCAGCCTCAGGCTGCCTCTCCATGGTGAGTGGGCTCTAGGCAGTCATCTGCTCTCTCCTCACTTCCCTGTCTGAAAGTGCAGCTGTGTAGGTGGTTACTGACATCACATGGAATGATACAGATCAATGAGCCAAAAAAGGGCAAGATTTTCTAGCAGCACCTTTTAGAATTCTGTACATGAATGCTATCTACACGAATTTGAACATGTAAGCAAAGTATTTATAAACAAAGAAGAAAAAAAAGGAAGAAATGAAAGTTCTGCAATTCTGCAGTTTACAGCTGCGTTTCTGAGTTTCCCATGAGGCTTGTAGCATTTAATTAGCTTTAACTGGGGATATTACTTTTGCCTCTTGTTCTGCAAGGCTATTGGAATAACTGGCTGACTCTGTAACCTACCGATGTTTTTCCTGCTTGTTGCAGTTCTCCCTTCTATGACCTCACTGATATCCTTCTGACTGTGAATCTTGCAATAAAAAATATCCCCAGTGCAGAACAGGAAAGCAGATCACAGCACACAGGATGTATGTCTTCTTCAGAGCAGAAAAAAATGAAAGGATGGGCCTCTGTTGCTCATTTTGCCTTTAGTTTATACCTTCAAATGGTCAAGATAAGGCTGGGCATGGATGCTGCTGCATAAGGGCCACAGTAGAAGAGCTGAGACTAGAATGATTGCAGGGGTGTGAATGGACAGGAACACTGAGGAATATTTTGTTGTCTATCTACGTGCCTAATATCTGAAGTCTTGTAAATTTTGATACTCTTAATATTTACTTCTGAAATTTAAGTGAGGCTAATTAAAACAATGGAAAGAAAAGTGTGGAATGGAAAATGGAACAAAACCTGTTGTGTCATGGCCTGAACCACTGATTAAGCACCTGGGGAAAGGACTTGGTCAGACCTGGGAGCACAGGTGAAGGCAATTAAGCTGTGCAACCATAATGGGTGGAGCCTGGCTACATCTCTTTTAGACCTCATTGAAGGGACGCTGACTGCCACTGGGGAAGGATTTGTGGTTGGAGATCCCTCCTTGGTGGAGTTTCCCTTGTGAGCCTAGATCTTTGGAGACAAGTGAGCATTTTTCCTTTGTAACACATTTCCATTATGCTAGTAGACCCTTTGTCATTACGCTTCCTGGATCACCATTCCACGTGCTGATCTTTCTGATTGTTACAACCTCTCAGTGCTGTATCTGACTTGTAAGTGCTGAGATTTGGTGGCTGGAGAGACATGAGGTGACTTAGCTGCAGCCACCTCAGCTCAATGAATTCATTTTGTCCTGCAGTTGACATCAGTGGCTCACTTTCTGGCTTCCACTGAGATGTGTTTTCAAAGAGATATATTTCTGCCTCTTCTGGAGTGTTTACAGAAAATACAACTTGCAATAAAAAGAATATCCAGTGACCTAGGCTGTGCAACAGGCAACAATTTCTGTTTTTGCGTTCTGTGGGCACAGAGGGGATATGTGGAGATATTTGCGTATGCAGTCAGCAAAAAGCAAAGCTTTTCCTCTCATACATCTAAGGTTTTTTCCATGCCTTTGGACAGGCTGTTCTGGTTGTCAGCCTCACGTGTATGCTGCTGCAGAAAGCAGTGTCTCCATCGTGATACTCAGAGAATGTCAATTTGCCAAAACAAATTTTGGTGGATAGGGAAACGCTTGCTTACTCAGTTTTGGTTACGTGTAACCTTTACGATATCCTCTCACAAATGCCTCCCAGACAAGTAGGTAGCACACCAAAAGCCAGAGAATGGTGAAAGCTCCCGATGATCTCACCCAGCATGTCCTTGAACAAGCTGCTTTTTGGTGACGACGTGGCCTCCTGCCCCTGGCCCACAGCTGCGCCTCAGCCTACCCTTAACAGCCGGCGGCCTTCCCCTTGCCCCCACAGCTTTGTCAGTACAGGCCTAGCTCAGCTGGGGGCACAAGGCTGAGACATTACCTGGCAAAGAGAAGCAGGTGAAAGCACTTAGTCATCTGCAATCATTTCCCTAACAAAAAGACTTGATATTGTCAGCTGGTGTGTAGCCTAGGGGTTATCCTCTTATCTAGGCCTAAGCAGGAAACCCAGTGATTTACAACTCGATGTAAGAAATAGTGATCGTGTGGCTAATCTGCAGAGGAGATTAATGCAGTGTGCTTCTCTAAAGCATCCCAAGGCAGTGGGATCAAGCAGTGTACCTGCAAGCCGTTGGCTGGGCAGGTTAGGGTACCCAGGGCATGGCAGGCTCTGTGAGCTGGGCTGGAATGGAGAACTTTTGTCCTGAAAGCTGTGAGCAATCAGAGGCCCCTGTGTGGGGCTCGTTTCTGCACCTGGAGGGTAGCTGCACAAAGTCATCAGGTGCAAATTCATCTCAGCTGAGGAGCACACCCAGAACGGTGCTTTTTGCTAATATATAAAGGTAAGAGAAGGCTGTTCCTCTTGATATGAGTGTTCTAGTCTTCTCCATGCGTGTTGAGCTCTGCTACATTGTTTCCTGTAATGGACCAACTGTTCCTTCATGGCTGCGGGTGGCGTGCTTCCTTTTGTGTTGGAGTTACTCTGGAGCACGTGGTGAATGTTCGGTGAGTCTCTGCTGGGGTATTAGATTCAGTAGCAGCATGCTTCTTGATGTGTGTGGGTAACCATGCCGGCCTGTGAACCGTAGTTAAGCTTCAGCTGCTTGGTGTGTGAATTACAGTGTCTACTCTCTGAAAGAACTTCCAGAGAGACCAAACCATGATAATTGTCTAATGAGGGCACAATTACTTGTATGGTGCTTGATAAGAGCACCATCCGGACTGGAGCTTTGGGAGGCTTTTGTGATACAAATAGTGCTTGCGTAAAACCTGGCAGGCATTGTCGTGTATGGGCCTGGTGGTGGGAAGCTACTGGGCATGAACTGTCTGATAGCAGCCCCCAGAAGTGGTGTGGCTTAGAATTCCTTCTTGCAGTATTTGCAGCTACTTGAGGTATTTGCAGCTACTTGCCTGTGTTGAAGCGCAGCTCTATTGTTTGTCTATGCTGAGATGGTTCCTACCTTTCAGAGTTTTGGGAAAGATGTGAATTGTTATTTTTTTGTTCCCCCCCTTGAACCACCAAGCTTTTAGGCTATCTAAGGTAGAGGCTTGTAATTAACACAAACTGGAAATGAAGATGGCTGCTTAGCACAGGGCTAGGGGGATGTAATCTGATCTCCAAGGATGCTGGTATAGCTCTGAAGTAATCACTTCTGTTGGTGTTGTTTTTCATTTGTTTGTTTTGTTTTTTTTGAGGGAGAATATATTTGCCCCCAGCCCCAGGTGTTTGGCTTGGCCATGACTGAAGTATGATTACTTCAATGCTGGGGCAAAAAAGCATCCCTTCGGAGGGCGTTTTTTTGGGATGCTTGTGGAAATCTTTAGTTTGCTTCTCCTTAAAAGCTTGATGCGAAATCCTGTTGTAGGTTGTGCTCTAGGATTTTGGAGCTGTGATCTTCCTGGTGATGCCTTTACTGTCTCACCTGGCTGTGTCTGTGGGTGGACTACTCTGGGTACAAGCTTAATTAGCACTTCTCCTTGCCCTGACTTTTATTGCTTCAATAAGTGGTTTCACTTCCTGAAGTGTTGAA